ACCCCGCCGACAATGCTTGTCTCAGCCTTCGTCCGTGCTCGCGACGACAGGCGCCTTCGACCCTCTCGCAACCACAACCGTCTCTGACCACATCAAACTCCAATCAAGGTGAAAATTTTCGCTATTTTCCTGTGAATTTGATAATTGATATGGATGTATCATGCTAGGGTTAAATTTTGATATGAAGATATGGTTTTTGATTTAGGGTTTAATTATAATTGGGATATAAAATTTATAGTGTGAATTGTAATTTTTTGTGAGAATTTTGATGAATGATATGGATTGACTAGGGTTTATGATTTTGGATATGAAAATTTTTAGTTTTTATTTTGTGAAATATGATGAATAATGTGATTTGGAAGTTAGGGTTTAACCATTATTTGCTTTTCAATTAAGATTAGGGTTTTAAATTTGATTTTCAATTGAGATTAATATTTTTAGTTATAATAGATTATTTGCATATGATGGACTGTTGATTTTCAGTTTTGATGGTGAACTCTATACCCATTATTTGCTTCTTCAATGGGAGCCTCGGCGTCGGAGTGAATAGTATTCCTATGTATGAGTGTGGTTCTAGGAAAATGTTTATGTTATATAAGTCATGTAATTTTGATGGAATAATGAAGAAAATACACAGAGTTACTAAAATTAATAAAGAAGAATATACAATTAAGGTGTTCTTCAACTATCCGATAAATGAGAATAGAATTATTGCCGTGGAGATTACCGACGATGAGGAGTTGAATGACATGAAACAATTAGTTAAGAAGCAAGTGTCAATTGAGTTATTCATTGAAAAGTATCTGATTTTCGAATTTGCTAAAGTTTCGCGACCTCAAGGAGAGTTCTCCCAGATGCTTGACTTAGACAATGAATCGAGTGGTTTTATGACATCTCCAAGTCGAGAGCCATGGTCTCAACTACAATGTTTAAGCAGACATTCTCTTGGTGGGATATCAAGTACTATATTTAACGACGCTTCGAGCCATGTTACGGGTGACTTACCGGCCAGATCTATTGTAGAAGAAGAATCAAATGATGACTCAGAAGATATTAAAGAAGATGGCGTGCAAATTGATAGCATGCATGTGGCAACTGGAATCGATGATGACTCCCGTTAGATGGAACAATTTTATGTTAACAATGATTATGTGGAAGCTAAAGATCCGTTGCCCAACGTGTTTCATAATGAGGATTGGATAAATACTTCTCAAGCTGAATTTGTTGATGTTGGTCCAAATTTTCAACGACCTGAGAACTTCACTTTTAAAAAAGGGGATCTATTCGAGAGCAAAGAGGCATTGATCTTTGCACTCCGAGAATGGTCCATCTAGAATTGGATCAAATTCAAGTCGGTAAAAATTAATGCAACAAACTACCATGTAAAATGTTACTTCAACGAGAAGATTAAAGTAGAGCATGCAAGTGAGAAGGATAAGAGAAACACGAAATGTCCTTGGTTGCTAAATGCAGCTATGAGAAAATCATCAAATGGGAAATTTATAATATCTAGATATTGCGGACTTCAGACATGTTGCAATCCGTCGTGGATGTCGATCATTACTCTGTATCTTCTTCTTATATATGTAAGCTAATTATGCCTGAAGTGAGGGTTGAACTTGATCTAAATACAGGTCAGATATTTCAAAGGGTATATAACATGCGGCATTAAGATATCTAAATATAAGGCTTATGATACAAGAAAGAAAGTGTTGTCTAAAATACTTGGAGATTGGGGAAAATCTTATGAATTACTTCCACAATATCTTGAAGCTATCAAGCGAAATAATTCGGGTACTGAATATGAAATAATGTGCATGCAAGGTATGTATATTTATAATTTGACTCTGTATTTGTGTATTTGTAATTTGAATCTGTATTTCATTGAATTATCTTCTTTTAATAAATTAAAATGTTGTGAATATGCTAGGTGGTTACCACTCCTCGAGGACTTGGACACATGTGGTGTATTATTGTGGGGTAGTACCATTTTGGCGTACCTATACAAAGAGATGTCCAAAGTGGCATTCATGCAAAACAGTGACTTCAAAGGGTGTCTAACCTTACCGCAAGTATAGGCATGAGAGATACTTCATTTGAAGTCGAGACTATGCGTGCATTTACAATTAGATTGACAAATTCCACTGGGATGCAGGTATCCAATTTTTAATATAGCAAATATAATTGTAGTTATCGTTGTTGGAACTAAATTTTAAAAACAACACAGATAGAATGTCCATAAATGTTGCGACGAGAACCCGGCTAGACCATTAGATTTTTACGGAAATGAGCTTGACCGTATGAAGGTTTTTCAAGTATTTTTTCTATAAAAATGGGCTTTTATTTTATATATCTTTTAGTTTTAATGATATGCAACAATTATTTAAAATATTCTGTAGATGGAATGGGAGCCCTACACTCAGCTTCTCAATCGCCTACCACCAGTATGCACAGAATACCCAGTTACATGGAGAGCCAAAGTTCCTCTTATATATTTTGAGATAGTAGAGATACATATACCGGACCGTGTGCTTCGACAATTTGGTCTTGCACAACATGTTATGTAATTTGTTAAAAAAAAAGAGGAAGACAAAGAAAGGAGGCCATCAAAAGGACTAGGCAGCTAAGCATCGGGATTATATACACAGATGGAAGATAGAAAAATTTTGTATTGTTGAGCAAATTGAGCCAACTCCCCGGAAATTGAATTACTACACTTGGTATTATGGGATAACCCGAAGATGGATACTCCATGCGACCACAGCACCGGTTGAGTTACAAAAAAGATACGTACCTCAGGGTATAAATGAGAGAGAATTAGTAAGTATTTTTAGATTTTTATTTAAGGTCTTTTTTTATTGGTATTCCTCAATATTGCTAACATGTGTTTTTTGGAATAATTGCAGGTAGCAGCAATAGATGATGCTCAACCATTGCAAATCATGACATAGAATTGGCTCGAGCAGGTAATATAGAATTAAATTTTAAATTTAGACTTCTGTAATTTGAATTTTAAAGTAATTTTCCTATTTTGGATTTTTTGAATTATCTCTCATAGGTACAAATCCCGAAGCACAGAAACATATATCAATATATCAGTCGATAGTGCAGAGGTTTCACCAAGCCTTAAGCCAAACTCACGATGATCTTCACGATGGATGAGAGGTTGTTTACATCGGAAATCTTTTTCATTAAGAAATCCATTACAATTGTTTATCGTTTACAAGATTTAAAAGAGTTAATCTTTTTATAAGATTTCTCATTACAAAGAAAAAAAAGAGATCTCCTAGAAACACACGCATAATCGTTTATCAATCACTGCTTGCGTGAGATCTTTGCATGTGTTAGGGATGCTTTGATCCATGGACCGTCGAGTATCAGATCCGGGTTGATCGAAACGAAGGCTCGCTATTCTTGTTTCGTTTTAGACATAAGAACAAAAGTAAATATCTTAATAATACGAGATAAATACTCTTCTCGAGATCAAAATGACGTTTGATCCCAATGGAAGATGGAAAAGATGCAGATCTCTTGAAAGCTCCCTCTTTATGCTGAAGAATTCACCAAGATCTCTCTTTTCTTTCTCTAAAATTCGTGGGTTTTTCTCTCACAATGTCAGCAACTCGCCTAAAAATTCCAAATTCCAGATCACCTGTGCATAGGAACTCTAGGAGTGTATTTATAGGCTTCAGATGCTGTATTTTCGGATAAGTTTTCGTGATCTGGTTGTCTCTTTAGTTAGAAACAACTTTACCACATTTAGGGATGATCCTAAAGCAGATAAGGAGGTACTGGACAGTACGAATCCCGAGAAATCATTAAAAACGTGTTTTGGAGGAGTCTGATTATGAGAGACAGTTTTTATCTGTCTCGGCACCTGAGACACACTTTTGTGTCTCGACCCCG